GGTGGGTTACGATCGTCAGACGTGAGGGGTGGCCACGATCCGGACTCCAACAAAGCCCCCCTCCCAGTTTGTCTCCAATCTGCGAGAAAAATGCATCCGGACCGTCAAACGGACCTACGTAGGGGATGACATCTCAAATCTACCACAACCTTCAGGACACATCTCAAACCACATGCAATCGTCCGGACCGCGCGATCCAAACGGCTGCGGATGGTTTGAGAGTCGGCGTGGGTTACACGTAGCTGACCAACGACTACATGATGGAAATAACCCGTACGTTCTTCTCAGTTTTTCTCTCCATGACTATTTCCACAATCCCCATTATTGGACTTTCGGCCCCAATTTTCTTACTGCTACTCTTCATTTCCAACGTTAAGAAAACGAAACGTGTCGATGCACGGACACCCAGTGGTTGTCTTGGTTCGTGCAATCAAGTTTCCCGTTTCGTGAGAGATATGATGTTCATCAAGTCAATGACACGCGCGGCGAGCAGACACAGGAGGACCATTCGCCCGAACATTTTCCTCTTTGGATATACGAGCATTAACCCCTTGAATTATTCCTGACCGTGATGTTATAGCAACGTTTCCTTCCTGCGTCTCACATCACTTAATTATTTCCCCTGAATTTTTTTTGACGGAATACACACTTTCTGAACTATTCAGGAAAGAACAAGATGGATATATCCAGATGCAAATGATTAAATGAAATGAGACACAGCAAATCAATGACGAAGCGGTACAATCTGAACCCATTTGGCGGTGAAGCTCTCTCACTTTCGATGAGAATTACCACTCTGGAGCAAGTCATTTAAACGCATTATTGGGTCAATAATTCAGCGCTGCTAGTTGGAAAAAGTCCAATTTAAACCTTAAATTTGTAGAGCTTAGCCAAATGGAACCCTGAACTCTGAATCCCGGTCGTTGGCACATTGAACTTATCAATCCCAGTCTAAATCAAACCTTGAAGCTGTTTGGTGCACTGGGAAAGTAACAATACAGACTGGGATTAAATGCTATTCTCACTGACAGCTGGGCCCATGTGTCATATTAATCTTCTTCCCCAATTTCTTTGTCTTCTTGACTCCCGAATCGATCCCGATCGAGCAACCCGCCCCGGGCAGCAGGCATACAGCGATTGCAGCGCAAGGCAACAGCTAGCGCACACGACAGCAGGCAGTAGCGAGCACGCACAAAAACTTAGCAATCTGGAGCAGCACAACACCACAGCAGGAGGACGGGGCAATGCAGAGCTAGCTGCAGGGCAATGGTAGCGAAAGATGACGGCTCAGATTCGAGCTTTGGAGATGCTGCCACGGGATAACCTCCGGCAAGCGCGCCTCGTCGACGGAGAAGTGGAGCGGCAGGAGAGCGCGCCGGCTGCGTCTTTGATAGTCAACGCCAACGTGGTCAAGCTCGATGGCCGAGACTCCAATGGCGAGTAGCAGGCTAGCAGCATGCAGCATGGCAACATTGCGAGCAGGCACCATGGCACTTTTCTATTTTGTGTTGTGCGGATGCTCCTCATTTGTGCAAACCTTGCAATGGGATTAATCGTCTGACCATCAAATGAATACCAGAGCAAAATAAAAGGTGACCGGGGGAAGCACACAACAGCAGCGACGTCCCCCATACTGAGCAGCGCCGGCGATCCTCCAAGGAGGCTGCAAGCATGTGAGTTTTAGTAGCCTGTACAGGATTAGGACAGAAATTGAGGTGGAAGATAAGTATGACAGGTGGACCAAGTCAGTCAGTGAGAGTGGCAAATTATCCCATTTGGGATATATTTTTTCCCGACGTAAAAACAGCTCCAGGGTTCGATTTGGACCGGAATTGATAAGTTTAGTGTGCCAACAACCGGGATTAAGAGTTCAAGGTTCGATTTAGCTAAGCTCTACAAGTTTAAGGTTTAAAATGAACTTTTTCACTGCTCGTTACATCAAACTCAAGCACTCTCAACCGCCATATTAACTCGCCGATAGCGGTACGGCATTCCGTGGTGGAAATGCAGACGCCACTGCTGCATGCAGAGAGAAGCAGTACGACTGAAGCTTGTGAGCCATCAACACGGCAATCGTAGCCGAAAGCCTGAGCCGCGCCCACGACTTTCTCACCGCTCTCTCTCTCTCTCTTTCTGCCGCGCAATAAAACTCCGGAGCAGCCAATCCACCATGTGAGCAGCTCAGGAGCAGCGTGGCAGGGCCTCCTATAAAACCATTTTCCCTTGCACCACCGCTGCACTCAGCACACTGCACTGCGCCACCACCATATCCAAAATAGCTCAGCTCAGCGCTGCTTGCCACTGAACTGGGCTGGACTGGTGACACTGCTGCACGCTGCCACGCCATGGCTCCCCTGCTCTTCAAGGACATGAGGAGCCTCTCGTGCTCGTCGCCGGCGTCCACCGCCATATGCCCCAGCCTGGAGCGCCAGCCCATCTTCCGGCCGCAGAAGGCCGGCGCCAGCCCGCTCTTCCAGGTCCCCGCCGAGCCCAGAGCCCACAGGCAGGACGGCAGGAAAGGGCAGCAGCACCACCACCACCACAGGGCTGGCGTTGCCAATGGCGAGCTCGCCAGCCCGGCCGGGTCAACAAGGTTCCTGCTCAGCGGCTGTGCCGCCGTCGACGAGATCCAGGAGGTGGCCACGGCTGCGGCGCCGCCTCCGGCCGCTGCCCCGGGTGGTGGTGATGTCAGAAGGGAGGAGCCGGCTGCTGCTGCTGATGTGAAGAACACGAGCACCAACACGCAGGAGCAGGTGAGGATACTCTCCAGTTCTGTTGTGAATCATCGCTGATTATTTGCCGTACCACTTGCGTTCTGAAGATTTGATTCCACTCGTCTTGATACCTCATAAGAAAAAGAGAAGATAGAGGAATATACAGAGTAGGTAGAGATGGTGCAATCATCAGTAATCATATCAGCGTTAGACCCGGAGAGGAGTACTTAATTTTATTGGGTGATTTCATTTGGATATCTGAACTTTAAGCCGAAGATGCGGAAATACAATGATGACAAGTACTTGTAGACAGTGTCTTTTGTGTGGAAATGATTGATTAATTTGCTGGACACGTATTCCAAAACAGATTCACGGTTTGTGTATACACTGCTTCTTCTAGCTTGCTTCCAGAGTTGCATCTTCGCTTCTTTTGGTTCAAAGTGTTGAAAGCCGGCACATCATGTGGTTGCTCTGAAGCGATTAAGCTCTGTCCTTAATTAACTTGCTGGTCATCGTTGCAGGTGGTGGTATTGAAGGTGTCCCTGCACTGCAAAGCGTGCGCCGGCAAGGTGAAGAAGCACCTTGCCAAGATGGAAGGTGAGCACCGTAAACTTTCTCTTCAGGTTCAGTAAAATTGCAGATACATATAACCAAGCTGCGTCTGTTTCTGAAGGTGTTCGGACGTTCAGCATCGACTTCGCGGCGAAGAAGGTGACGGTGGTGGGCGACGTGACCCCGCTCGGCGTGCTCGCCAGCGTCTCCAAGGTCAAGAACGCGCAGATCTGGGCGGCGCCGCCGCCGCCGCAGCCCGCCATGGCCGCCTAGCCTGCCGACGAGGCCGACCAAACGAAGAAGCCTAGGATTCCAACGGGTCCTGGATCATGGTAGGTAGGTAGCTGTGTGTGTACTACGTGAACGTGAGCAGCTCAGCGCGGACGTCCGTACGCGCGTGGGGGTCACCCACCGGGGCACGCAGGCAGCCGCTGACCATGCCGGCCGGCACGGTGGACCAGCGGCGAGCGGATGCGCCACTGTGTGTGACACGCGTGCACATGCATGGCGCTCCCCAACGGGCAGAAGCTGCTGCGGCGCTTGGTTGTGTTTTTGGTGCTGTGGATCTCGTCTCGTGATGTGTTTGTTTGGTTGTGTTCGGCGCGTGGTGTTTCTTGTCTTGTCCTCAGACTCGGAGCGTGTGGCTCTGTACTCTTCGTTTATCTTCTTACTGTAATATACTCCTATGAGCGTTCGTATATCGATTACCTGCACTTGCGTTTTCTCGTGCTTTTGTAGAAGTGATGCGGCGATGTTTGACCAACGCAAACCTTGAAGCTTTTTTACATTGGAGAAAAAGCGAGGCGACTCACCTTGCGTATGCCTGAAATAACACCGGAGCTACAAACCTTCGACTGGCTTATATCTATCTATCCCCTATGTGATGTGGAGTAGCTTCGAAACAGACATGGGCCGACTCAAATCGAAAAATGGGAGGCACCGGCATAATGTTCTTCTTCCCGTATTAGAGCAATTCTAGCAGACCCCGCAAAAATTCGACCCGCAAAACACGTTTGCGGTTTCAAAAAGATCATGTTTGCGGGTCGAAAACATGCGCGGTCGAAAAGAACCCGTATCAAAACCTGCATAATTTGAAAAAACACTTTCGCGAAAAAAATTGCACAAACATAGTTTATCACATACTACATAGTTCATTACATGATAAACAAACTACAAGCATAGTTATACTACATACCATATTAAACTAGTAATAGAGGGGTCGGATCTGACGGCGGCGAGGTCGCGGCAAATGGACGACGCCGTGGAAGAGCCGGACGCTCAATCCTCCTCGCCGGAGCTGCACAGGTCGATGTACTTCGCCGCCTGCTCCGCGCGGATGCGGCGCCACTCCTCAGCCTTCTCGTTGGCGGCGACCGCCTGCCGCCACTGGAGGGCTTTGAGCTCCTCCGCATGGCGCCGACGCTCCTCCTCTCGCACGCTCCGCTCGGCGACGGCGGCGGCGACGGCGTCGAAGTCCGCGACATAGTCCTCGGGCCCGACAACTCCGCGGCGGCCGAGCGGAGCGGGCTCCTCGGGCTCCTCCTTCACCGGGACGAAGGCAAATGGCGCCGGAGGCTCCGGCTCCTCCTCATCGTCCGACCACTCCCTCTCACGGGGAGGAAGCCCGCGCCGGAGGACGAGGAGGATCCGGCGTAGGAAGATCTCGCGGAGGAGAAGGACGCGCTACAGCGGCCGTACTCCTCCGTCTCGCGGCAGTTGAAGCTCGCCGGCGGCGACATCCCGCGGTTGGTCCACCTCCGGGCGCCGCGCTTCCTCGCGCCGTCCACCTGGACGCGCCACTCGCGCTCCGGGTCGCGCTCACAGCCGGATCTGCTGTCGGAGCCGTGTCCGGAGCTCCACATTCGCCCCCACATGGTGGCTGGAAGCGGGGCGGGTGGTCGCCGGTGGCGAGAAATTGGGAGAGGGGAAAGGGGAATCGGGTGGCTCACGGCGGCGGGGGATAGGGTTTGGACCCGCAAAAGGGTCGGAGAACCGCAGTTATACTGCTTAGGGTGTGCGGTTTGCGGGCTGCGGCAAAAAAATTTGCGGGCTGGGCGAGTATGCGTGCTCTGTTCTGGCCGGAAAATTGGGGCGAGCCCGCATACTCGCCGAAATTTTTGCGGGCAGGGCGTTTTGCGGGGTCTGCTAGAGTTGCTCTTAGTAGCACACCCAGATTTTGCAGACCCGTTTCATTATTTTCTCTCTTATTTTCAGCAAAGCTTCACCTGTAGGAATCTACTCCATCTGATGCACACCACTAGCTTTATTTATTTTATTTTTCGTCTAAATCGACCAATGATTAGACTAATGAATTAAAGAGCAACATACATCTATAAAGCATGAAAAGTAACATGTCTAATATAATTCTAAAGAAGTAATTTATCACTAACATAAAGATTTTCCACGGGTTACTTCGAATAGATCGTAATCATGTACATCAGCTCATGCGATCGCTATGCTGAAGCAATGGGGAGAAGATGCTATATACATATTGTCATAAACCCGTAGTCTAGGGGATGGACTATTCACATCTCATGACAGGAGTAGAGGAGTTTGACATTGATGTAGAAGGCGATGATGCCTCTACCACAGAGTACCGAAACATGGCTGGAGATTTTTTATCCCCTCGGATCGCGATATGGGCGTGACCAAAAATTACACGATAATTTAGAGGTGAGTTTTGAGGTATTCATGAGCCAACGGGACTAAACCCTCATGCAGAGGCACCATGTGGCCCCAACACATAGCGAGGGCGTGCTCTAGCCCTAGGTTGCTAGAACGCATGGGTCTGTGCCACCTGCCCTAGGCGGGCCCTTCCGCCACAAGCCCTGTTTTGATGTAAAACTATGTTCTAAATTTTCTCGGATTTTTTATTTAACAAATATACCTGTTCCTCATGAAAGAACAAATTAATTAGACATAGACTCATCTTGTGACATTTTATTAACCAGATGATACATCACGCATTGCTGCTGTAATCGGTTGCAATATATTTTAATGATAAATATTTTGATTTACAAAAAATGCATACGCACGTTTTGTAGTTAATTATGTATAGTTGTAAAAAAAATCTCATATTGAGGTGGGTATTATCAGAGTATTTATTAAATATAAATAGAATAACAGAGTAAAAAAATCTCATGCATGGTAGCATATGGTGGTGGGTCTTTTGCATGTTGAGGTGGGTATTATCCCATCCATAATTGTATGATGATGTGGCATACTTGCATGTTGAGATAAATAAGTTAGTTGAATTATTCTCTTAGGTATATAGGAAATGTTATTACATAAATAAAAATGAAAATTTCATATTTAATAGCAGTGTGACATGAAAACTAAAAAATGTATAAAAAAATGTTTAGGACGTAGCATACGTCCACAATGCATCTACAACTTTTGATGTTTTCATGCTTATTTCTCATCAATTTTAGGCAATATTCAATATTTATTGGACTGACATAATTAACAACATTTTCAATAAGGGACATCTTCATTCAGTCGATATATCAAGGTGATGCAACCACACGAACATAATTAACAACTATAGTAGAAGGCATAATTGCGTGTTTTTCATGTTTGTGGACACATCGACTTTCCGGAACTCAAAAATCCGAGAAAAAAATAGTCATTCATAATTTCCCAAAGGAGAATACATGTTCTTTTTATCTCACTATAATACTCCCTTTGTTTCATGATATAATGCACAATTTTTTTTAATAGAAAGTAAGGCCTCTTAGAATTTGATAAAAAATTGTTGAGAAAAATACCACGTCCACAATGTCAAATAAATACAATATAAAATATATCTTATAATGTATCTAATTATGATATTAAAAATGTTGATATCTACCTCGATAAACTTGGCAAAAGTTTACGAAGTTTGACTTTTGAAAAAAACCCTGTGTGGACTATATTTTTTGAACCAATAGTGTATAATATTGTGTATAAAAATGTCGCTAATCAACATTTCTCCCCTATATAAGAAACTTGTGTTGCGGTGTTATTTGAATAACAATTCGGTGGAGGGGCCAAATGGGAAAGTTGTGAATTTAGTTAATCGGAAATCTTGAAGGTTTCAAGTTCTTTTCTAACTAAGACCTAGAAGCTGCCCAGAAACTAAAAAGAACTGGTGATAGATGTCAAATGAATCACTGTCAAAAGATAAAAAAAAAACAGATCGTAAGCATGATACTACTGGTCGGTTTTGAAAGGGGTAAGCGTATCCTTACCGGCTCTCGCGATTACACTCCCCTAATAACCATTTATCGGGGCTTGCCAAAAAACCTTCCCTAATAACAACTTACTGGGGCTCCACAACAAGAGTCATGAACATGATCTTGCATTCTTGATCTATCTTCTTCGGATTCACTTCGTGCGCAAGGACTCTTTTTCTGACAAAAAGCAGCTAGATGCTGATTTTCATTGATGAAGGAGATGGGTTACAGTAACAATTACAAACGCACACTCACACATAGCTTGCTGGTGCTGACAGCCAAGCACAAGTGTATCCGGCACTACCGTGAGAACTCAAGGTGAATCAAAAAACTTGTTCATTGGCGCCAAGCCAGCAATCCAGCATGCAGCCAGCAGCAAGCCTTGTCGATGATCCTGTTGGCCACCTGCAGCTCATTGCACGCCTTGCCCTCAAAGATCCAGGCGCAAGGACTCTCAACTTCTCTTCTTCAATTGCTGACTTGCATTCCTCACATGCAACTTTGGGCTCCTCCATTGCCTTGATCTCCAACCACCTCGACTCATTCTCTTGTTTTTTCTCTAACTCCAACTCCTTTTTTGCTATTATCTCTTCGACCGCCTTTTTGAACACAACTGCATCTCCTCCATTCTTTTGCTTATCTTTCTCACCTCTCCTCCTGATGGCATGTTGACTTTGGTAGTCGCCGTCGAGTTGGGACTAAAGTTTGGGACTATCAAGGGCATCACATGCATTATCATTATTGTCAACATCCAGAGCCCATGATGGTTTAGCCATCTTCGTAGGTTGGAATCTTTCATTGTTCCTATATTCCCACTTCTCATGGTTCTGGAGCGACGCCCAGCAATGGATCATGCCAAATGACTTGTATTTTGGATACATTTGTTCGTAAAACTCATTCCTATAGTTGATCTGTCAAGTTAAACAAATCATTAGCAAGTTGGGTTCAAACATTTCATAGGAAAATTTCTGTAGAGGGACAAAGTAAGAACAAAAATACTCACCAACATATCCTCTATCATTCCACTAGGCTTGGCACGCTCCACTTGGACCACACAAC